TTCACAATGCAATATAACAAACACCAAATACATAGTTTAGCTACGTATATATGGATCAACGAGGATGGATGGATGGATGGCTGGATGTGCAATAGAAGCATTTACACAAGTGGTCTCAGGCTTTTGGTCCCCAAAATGAATTTCCCCCATAACCCATTGCCTGAAACAGTGTCTTTTATTTTCTACTATCCTTTTTCAAAGGCTTTTGAGGTTGAATCAAGCACAAAAGCCAAAGATTTCTGTCTGAACATCGCTGGCAGAATGATGCTCCAATCCTCTGAGGGCTTCAGCTTGTTTGTCAAAATTTCTGACAAGGTGAGGTTATAAAGGTGTCAAATGTCTGTTCAGATGAAATGAAGATGTTTTGTGGGAGGTTATGACACTAAATAACTCTTCTTTTTTTTTTTAGTTTTACAAAAATTTTACGTCACAGCTTTTTCCTCTCAAAACACAGCAGTTATTCATCAGTACCGAGTGTATTATTAATGTAGGATGTCTTATCAGTACTGGCTTAAATCGTTTCAGGTGATCAGTGTGCCAGAAGGAGATTTCTTCTTCGACTTTGTTCGACATCTGACAGACTGGATTAAAAAAGCCAGAGCTGTGAAAGATGGTGATTTATGTTTATTGTTCATAAAAATGATCAATATTTTGAGTGTAAAAACCATGAGAGGTGTTAATGCTTCTGTTCGTTCTGTAGGCACAGTGCCTTCACTGACCTATCAAGTGTTTTACATGAAGAAACTGTGGACCAACACCATTCCAGGCAAAGATCCCATGGCCGACTCCATTTTCCATTACTTCCAGGTGGAAATCTCTCTCTCTCTGTACTCAATCTGTGCATACAGGCTCACTTTCAAACATATCACACTCTTGCTTCCTCATAAACTCTTCTTCAGGAGCTCCCAAAGTACCTGCGTGGCTACCACAAGTGCTGTCTTGAAGAGGCTTTCCAGCTGGCTGCGCTGATTTACAGGGTGAGGTTTGAGGAGGACAAATCACAGTTTCTCAACTTCACCAAGATGCTGAAGGAGCTCGTTCCTCAGGACCTGATCCGTCAGCTCTCACCCGACGACTGGAAACGGGTGAGTGAGCAACACTGGTCCTACTTCAAACGTTCATTTATGACAAGGAAATGCTGTGAATGTGCATGTCTTTGTTTCTTCTGCAGCCTGTCGTCACATACTTCAATACCCATGCAGGGAAATCTCGAGAGGAAGCAAAACTGATGTTTCTAGAAATCATTTATAAGTGGCCAACTTTTGGATCTGCCTTTTTTGAAGTCAAGGCAAGTTTGTCACAATATGATGCAATGTTGATTTACCTAAATGTCGGGCAAACAAAATTACATTTTTCTCAATTATAGTATTTGATTTGTTATTTTTTGTAAAATAAACTACATCTGGCTTGATGATGTTTGATATTCGTCCACAGCAATCCTCAGATACAAATTTCCCAGAAGTCCTTTTGATAGCGATCAACAAACTTGGTGTTACTCTCATCGACCCGAAAACAAAGGTAGGTTTACACACTGCCCAGAATACTGTAAGTTAAATAAGCGGTATCTTTAATATATTGTCATTTTAGCCTAAAGTGGAAACTTTACTGCATACACTACTGTTCAAGTTTGGGGTCAGTAAGATTTTTTTTATGTTTTTGAAATGTCTTATGGTTTATTTGATTAAAAAGACAGTAAACACAACAATATTGTGAAATATTACAAATTAAAAGAACTGTTTTAAATTTGTATACATTTAGTTATATGATGGTAAAGCTGATTTTTCATCATCATTACTCCAGTCGTCAGTGTCACATGATCCTTCAGGAATCATTCTAATATGCCGATTTGGTGCTCAAGAAACATTTCTTCTTATTATCAATGTTGAACACTTATTATCAATTTTTTGACTGTCACTTTAAAACAATTTAATGAGTCTTGATTGTGTATTAATGTGTATTAATTCCTTTTTTTACTGAGCCCAAACTTTGGAATGGTTATTGTATGGAATTTAGTGTATTTTATTTTATCATTTTGCTCATTTAAATATTTATGTTAAACTTACGTTGCTGTGACAGAAAGCCAACTGCCATTTTTTCCTCATTTGCGTCAACAACAAAACTTTTATTATATACATTAGTAAAAATCTTTTGGATATTGTTTGAATGGCATTTACTCATTTGTCTGCAGGACATTTTGGGCACACATCCCTTCACCAAAATCTCTAACTGGAGTAGTGGACATACCTATTTTCACATTACCATTGGTAACCTGGTTAGAGGCAGCAAACTGCTGTGTGAGACATCACTGGTGAGTCAGTCATCCCTTACTTCAGTGCTTCCCAACCCTGTTCCTGGACACACACCAACAGAACACATTTCAAACTCTTCCTATCAAACACACCTGATTCAACTCATCTGTTGATCAATCTACTAATACGCTGATAAGGGAGACATCCAAAATGTGTATTGTTGGTGTGCCTCCAGGAACAGGGTTGGGAAACACTGCCTTACATATAATACTGTGGTGGTACCATGATACAGTGATGGTATCAGATGGTAATACCATGGTACTCTTGTGACAAATGCTCCAGCTATTCCATTATATTAGATTTATAATCATACTTTGCTGTGTGGTTAAATAATACAGTATTTTATCGTCTGACTATCCTCACTATTCACAGGGATACAAGATGGATGACCTTCTCACCTCTTACATCAGTCAGATGTTGACTACCATGACCAAGCAGCGCAGTTCACGTGGAAACCAGTAACACGAAAGGCTTGGAATAGGCAGTTTACAGACTTCTCACTGTTTCTTAGATCCATAATTTTGATACATGAGAATAAACTGAATCTGCTTTTAGTGTTGTTACTTTTTCATACTGGAGCCTTAATTGTAAATTGCAAGTTTAATTTATTTTATAGCATTTCTCTGTATTTTAATGTCAATGAAGGACATGTTTCATTGACAGTCAACAAACTTGTTGCCTTTAAGTTGTAGGCCCTCATATGGTTTTTACTCTGACACCAAATTAAAAGTCAGTTAAGTCAGATCAAGTTCCTGATTTCAGTTATTCAATTTGTGGATGATTTGCACATCTCATTTTGCCAATTAAATGCATTATAAAGATTTAGAAATGTTGCAGTATTTGGGTTTGCTTCTTAGCTTAAGACTTCAACACTTGGTTTTCATCCTAGTCATTTTAAAGCACTTTTATTGGTACATAAATGTCATTTTACTAAATCAATGACAGCAACATTTAATTCAGTCTAAAAAGATCCTCTCGTTACTTTTTCTGAATAGTATTTCTCTTCCTTTGTAAATCTTTGACCAGGTATTGTAGAGATATGTATTAAAATGTATTTTATAAATTAAATGATCAGTATATATATATATATATGGCCAGGCCATAATCATTATTTTTTCTGCACAATATATTTAGGTTGAATCTTTAAACACAGTTTTATTTATTTATTCTTTTTTATATATATGCATTAATTGGTAACACTTTACAATACGTTTTCATTAGTTAACATTAGTTACATTAGTTAACATGAACTAAGAATGAACAATACTTTTACAGCATTTATTATTCTTAGTTCATGTTGATTTACATTTAGTTAATGTTGATGTCATTTACTAATACACTATTAAAATCAAATGTATGTGTTAACATTAGTATAAATGAACAGTGAACTGAACTTACAATAAACGAGTGTGTTTTTATTAACTAACGTTAGCAAAGATGAATAAACACTGTAATGTACTGCTCATTGTTAGTTAATATGAACTAATGTTAACAAACGAGACCATATTGTAAAGCGTTACCCAATCATTTGTAGTTTGTAATTGGTCATTCTAATTTTATTATGTTGGAAGCTGCTGTTTATAAATATATATGAGATGGCTTGGCTATTTTAATGAGGTTCATGTCATTTGTTATTCTCATTGATCAATGATTTATGATCATGTGATCAGTCATTTGACAATTAGATCCCTTGAATGCAACATGTAAAACCCTATATTTAGTTTTAAAGTAGGTCTGTTCACTAAACACTAAAAAATAATTATTAAATGTATTACTAAATAATAATAATAAATGTATTATTTATATACTGGTATTATAGTATTTATTAATATTTTGAATCCGCTTTTATTTTTATATTTTCCATTTTGATTTTAGTTTTAGTCATTTTTATGCACTTTTGTCATTGTTATTATTGTTTGTTTTTATTTTGCTTGAATTTATTTTTATTTAATTTTTTGTTTAAGTCATTTTAGTCCTTCAGGTTAAACATATTTTATTGCAGTTAGTTAGCCAAGGAACATTAAAAAAATTTTATTTCAGCTTTATTTCATTTAGCAAAAACTATTTTAAATATTTTTTTATCATTAACAACACTATTTGTAGTTTGTGTAAGATTTTGTAGATTCTTGCAAAACTCAATGTACAACAATATACTCTTGCCAGAATTTAATCAGACTTCAAATAATAAAAAATAACAAGATTGTAACAGTTTTCACATTTGAGTAAAAAGTATGTGATTTAATGAGAAAAAATCAAAGAGCAAATATCAGTTTAAAAACGGAGAAAAATAGATTACGGGCATCATGATTTCAGACAGACACGGATCATATTGCAATAACCAAAGAATCTTTACACTGAATGATATTTTGTGGCTTAATATTGATTTAGAATCCTACATTAAATTAGAACAAGACAAAAAGGACAAAACATTAGCACAACAATTATTTATGACTTCAGATTCTAAGACAATTAGGGTCCTCTCTGGGAGTAATGTTTCAAACAAAACCATGAAAATGATTTTAAATACGAAACAAAACAAATGGATCCGCTAATATTTAAATGAAGGAAACATAATTTTCATCGACATGACACATATTTTCATTCATGCTCGAAATGGAAACCTTTAAGAAAAGCCTGAGGCTTGTGAAATGCATTAACTCAAATGACAATCTAAAGTCAGAGGTGTAAGATCAGTCACTAGCATTTGTTAACTGTATGTATCCCATCATATCAGCTCACATGTCTGTCATAAGACATTTTGTGACAATTAGAATTTATAAAATTGTAAGGGTGATTTCAATGTACCACTTAAACTGTGGTTTAAACTGGCTTAACTGAACATCAGTTAGTTGTTTTTTAATATAAGGGGTTAAATATGAACCAACAGTTTTAATCAGGCTCTTCAGAGAGATGGTACCTGCTTCTCAGGGCTGCTCATGTTGGATAAAGACCACACATCATTCACCTCTGTTCATGGGAACATGAAACATGATCAGCCTCAGATTACTCTTCATTTATTTGCCTTAAGTGGTTTACAATATTAAATGCCTCTTACCTGTCCTGAACTGTCTGTAGAACCCATGTTCAAGTAATGAACTGCTGTCCACACTGCGAGCCAACCCACGCTCCCTCCACCTGGAATACATCATGATTGACAGCCTACAAATTGCCTTTTGTATGGAGTACAGAGTGCTTTCGGATTGAAGCTACATGTTCACAGTCAAAGTGAAATGATGTAAATTCTGTGCTCACACTCACCAGTGAAACACAAAAATAATCACAACGAGAAGAAGGGAAGTGATGTCAGTAAGAGTCCACGTAAGCATGTACTCTTCTGGTGTCTGAGAGAGAGGAAAACCACAGGAAAAAACTCCTGAATGAGAAGATGAACAAATCCCTGACAACTGTAGATGTGTGTCATTTACCATGAGAAAGAGCGGTCTTTGCAGGTTCTTGAGGATGTGAACAGCATTCGTGGCGACAGAATGAGCCCCTGCACACCAGGCTAGAGAATACAGCCACGGCTCGCTGATCACGTACAGGTTGGTGCTGATGTTGGCAGCAGCGTATTTTCTGTTATTGATACAAGGTCACACACAATGCATGAGATTTATGTGTGACACATACTATATAGAGAATATTTGGGGTCTCGTATGCTCACCAAGTAACAGTAAAAACAGTAATATTGTGAAATATTTTTCAAATTTAAAATAACTCTTTTCTATTGTAATATATTTTAAAAAGTAATTTATTCCTGTGATGGCAAAGCTACATTTTTGGCAATTACTTAAGTTTTCAGTGTCATTTGATCCTTGAGAAATCCTTCTAATGTGCTGATTTGGTGCTCGAGAGAGAGAGAGAGAGAGGGATGGATGGATGGATGGATGGATGGATGGATGGATGGATGGATGGATGGATGGATGGATGGATGGATGGATGGATGGATGGATGGATGGATGGATGGATGGATGGATGGATGGATGGATGGATGGATGGATGGATGGATGGATGGATGGATGGATGGATGGATGGATGGATGGATGGATGGATGGATGGATGGATGGATGGATGGATGGATGGATGGATGGATGGAATGAAGTGTGGAATACATTATATATCTATAGTGTGCATCTTTTTTAGCTTATCTCTCGAACCTGATTTCTTTCTCTGACATGGAACTGTAATGGATGTTGAGTCTGGCTATGTGTCTGAGCTGAAGTTCCTCCACTGGTGCTTGTTCGCCTGTTGTCTGTTGTAAATCAGGGTCCATTTCTTGTACAAACTCCCTGAGCTCTGGAGGCAGCCACAGTACCTAGGTAAATGCAATAAACATATATAATCTATATATTAAAAGCATTTTTCATAAAAACCACAATCTATACAAAAGTCACCTTTTAAACTTTCCCAAAATGCAACAATGTAATGGCACACCTGACTGGAGTGAATGGATGACTCGTTCTGGATGACGTCCAGGGTGCGGGATATCCAGGCATCTCTGTAAGGGTGACCCCTGGGCGGCCGGTACAGATCAAAGATTACAAGTTTCCCATATTGAGCAGCCAAATCCAGAAAGGCCCTCAGTGTGCACACAGACTGATTCTGAGCCTGTAAGCGCTCATCTGCGCTCAGAGATGAAGCTGTTCCAAAGGGGTCTTGCTGAGTGGGAAACAATAATACTCTTTGATTAATGTTTAAAGGTGGTTTTAAGCAACACAAATATAATCTAGATAACAACTAATTCTTTTTTCAAGAGTAAAAAAGCTTCCCGCAGCCTAACAGAGAAGAACCAGTATCCAGCGTTGAGACTCTGCAGTTCTTTCCACGTAAACATGGCAGGTGAGGTGTGTGTCCAGTTAGGAAACACGTCTTTTACATTAGTTGTCCTGCGTAGGTTCTTATCGTGCATGAGGAAAGGAACTCCATCATAACTGCAGCAAGAGACAAAATGTTATAGAGGACTTTTTTCCATTTTAAATAACACAGGCTTTCTATGGAGCTGACCTGATAGTGACATCGGTCTCCAGGCCATCAGCTCCAGCTGCCAATGCCTTCTCAAAAGACATGTAGGTGTTTTCAGGGGCAAGCTGAGAAAAGATACCACAGAGACATTGCTTTTTTCTTCAGTCTGAACATGGTACATTGCATGTCTGCTCAACCCTGTACTACTACAGTCTTGATATAATAATTGTTTTAGAAATACTGCACTAATAAATCACATCATCACATATCACATTAAACTTGGAAAGAAGTATTTTAGCCTAGTGCTTGAACCTGAAAAGCCTAAGAAGAAGAATGAAGTGTACCATCGGTGCTCCCCTGTGTCCAATTAAAGCAGGAGCTGATCCCAGACTGCTCCTCTCTTTAATGCAGGGCGAGTGCATGCCCAGAGGAACCAGGTAAAGAGTCACTAGAACAGTTATATACAGCACCATCATGGCCATCCGTCTCACTTAAACAGACAAAGGCACATATGAATTCACATTAATAATATGCACTTTCTCTGACATAAGCTGCATCAGGGTGGTGTTATTTTTTAAAGAATGTCTTTCCTTTTTTCAAGATATTTTGAAAATATATTATTATGCATGATCAGGGCTGTACAGTTACATATATACATGTATAAAATATTGGTCTGTGCAATGAATACAATTACCACAGTAGCACATGTGCGATACAGGTTGGCATGTGTGTGAGACAGATAAGCTTTATTGTGTGAAGTGAGCATTTGTTGTGTGCTTGTTTGTGTCTTAGATTAATCTAGGGCTGAACATTTAAAGGGATAGTTCACCCAAAAATGAAAATTGTCATTATTTACACACCCTCATGTTGTTCCAAACCTGTATGAGTTCCTTTTTTCTATTGAACACAAAATAATATATTTCACAGAATATTGGTAATCAAACAGTTGGCGGTAGCCATTGACTTCCATAGTAGGACAAAAATACTATGGAAGTCATCAACTGTTTGGTTACCAACATTCTTTAAAATATCTTCTTTTGTGATCAACAGAAGAAAGAAACTCATACAGGTTTGAAACAACATGGGGGTGAGTAAGTAATGACAACATTAACATTTTTGAGTGAACTATCCCTTTAACCCGAAATTCACTGAGATCAGAGAGGATCGATTGGTTTGCAGTAAATGCTGCTCCATCTTTGGAAGCGCTGTGAATTTAAGTCACTTATAACTCATTTGACAAGCAACAGATTTTTTTACATAATAAATTAATACTTATAATAAAACTTTAGACCTTTCTAATGATTTGTAAGTAAATGAAACAGTATTTTCAAGTGCTCAATCAAGGATGTTGTTTGGAGGCTGATTAGTGATATTGGGCTTTATAAACAAAATTGACTTAATGTTAAGCAAGAGGTCTTACGTTTCTGCAGTCTGCCATTCTTGGCAAATAAAAAAAAAATTGTGTGAAAAGGTTTGGATTTTGTGTGCCCTGTATGGACTATTAATGTTTTTTGTCAGTCACATACCTGTTTGAGAGATGAACTGCACTGGTTGTTTTCAGAGATGGTCACAGACCTTTTTATACTTGTGCTATATTGTGTGGCCCTGTGCATAATATATTTAAACTCATTCTTACCTCTCATATTGAGCCGGAAGAGATGAAAGCCTACCGGCCAAGATAATAGAGTCAATAAAACTACACCACCTATATGTAGATATGGGGCAGATACCTGGCAAATGGGAATTGGGAACTTTAATTAAAAATATCACAGTGAATTTACTCCAATATAAATATTATATAGTAGTAGATAATAAACCTGCCTGAAAAGATAAAAGCACAGTCTTCCACTCCTTGCTCCATAAATCTGTGAGAACAGATGAGGCCACAATGGAGAGAATCAAAGTCACTGAGATCCCAATCTATCGGAAGAGATTTCCTCAGTCACAAATGTGAACCATAAAGTCTCTTTATGTAAAGACTTTCAGTAGTTACATAGTTGAGATGAAGTTACCTTGTGACACCAATGTAAATATAACCTCTGGCCTTCTGAGAGAAGACAAACTGCCAGCAGCTGTGAATATTAACATATTTCTCACCAGCAAATTATCATATTATGGACCTTTAGTAACTTGTTATGGTGACTTAAAGCTTAAAAAGCAAACCACATTGACAATAATACGATATGTACATTTAATATGTCACGTCTATAATAATCTATAATAGTGATTTCATAACTGTGGGGTTTTGTAAAGAAATTAGGTCAAAACTGTAGTAATGAAAATGAATATTCTTACAGCACATACCAGCAGAACAGCAACATAAGTGAACAGAAAAACAGCAAGAATCAACAACACAATAGACCATGGAAACCAGAAGCCCAGATTTCCAAAATTAAACCTGGAGACAAAGCGAGTGAAATATTACTTTAGTGTATCTCTCAGTTAAATTACCTAAGTTGAGAGGCCTTTAATAAATTATACATTCAGCTCAAATTATTTATTTTCTGTCTAATGAACTATTAACAGCACTGTTCCACATTAAAAACAACTTTGTTTAAACAAAATGAACAGTAATGTGCTACCAAAAGAAGTCAATAAATCATTTAAAATATATCTTTTATGTGACACAAACCAGTCAAAGTCATTGTAGTCATTCCGTGCTTCACTCCAAAAGTACAGGAACACCAGACTGAGACAAAAGGTCAGAACGATCAGAGCAAAACTGCAACACTCCCGCTGCAAAACAGTTTTTAAGCCATTACATAACGCATACATCTAGCTAACTATCATTGCATTTTAAACCTGACCTAAATATTACTATAATAATTACAAAAAGAACACAAAACTTAAGAGTAGGAAATGTTTGTGAGAAAAAAAGGCCAGTGTATATTGAGCCTACTCATTCTGTAAAGCTTCTTATTTGCTTTGATCAGGTGGACTTGTACAAGTAAAGTTAACAGCTTAATTTGTAATGATCTGAGCATGCGCATTGTGAGTTAGAATGAGAGCACCTTAGAGCAGCAGCAGTGTCCAGGCTGAGCATGTGTGCGCTGGGAACGTCTCCACTGGCAGCCGTAGAGTCCAGCTAGACAGGAGACAAAGAGCTGGTGCTCATAACGCTGTAGCAACCTCTGGCGTGCCACTTTCAGCTTTCCCAACTTCAGTTGGGTTACCTCGGCCGGTGCTGTGCCCATAAGCAAGACAAATGAGGGTTCTGTCGATGTATAAACATATAATTATTTTCACCCCTAAATAATTTAGCAAAATGTAAAAGAAGTTGAGATGATGTAATGCATAACCAATGTTATATATGCAACTGTGTAATATTTTATTTTGCTTCTGCTATATTTTATGCCAGTGTAGTTTCCAGTTGCACAACTGTAAAAACTTAATTAATTAGACAATATACAAGGCTGATTATACAACATGGTCCCCTCATCCTGTACAAAAACCTAATAATGATGGAATTTCTCCAAATGTAACAGGGTAAAATGGTAAATTATTGCTCACAAAAAAACTTTACAAATCATTCTTCAGCCTAATAAGTAGCCCCGCCCAAACATGTCATTCGTTGAATTTGGATGAGAGTTGCCTTCGTTTTTTCAATTTCATTGATATTTGGGGCCAATTAAATTGGTATAAAAAAGTACACAATTAAAAATACTCATTCAGCATTTTTAACACGGGTCAGTATTAGCCTATTGTGTAATCACAACATGTAACTGAAAACAAGTACGCGCCATTCAACACAAATAAGTGTTCATAAAGGTAATTGTGAATTGTCTAACTCCCACATCTATTCATAAACTTTGAGTCCACGGAGATAAAAACAGGATGACATTAGCCAACAAACTTGTTTACACTTTACAGAATCGCTGTCATCTTCACAGTATGGTATTCGTATCGAATTTTTGTTATTGTGAGAATAGGTAACGATAAACAGCCCAATGTCTCACCGAATATCTGAACCGCCGTCGCCGTCACATCAGAACCAAGAAACCAAGTATCTCTGTCCGTGTCCGCTTTACTCCAGTGAAGTGAAAGGAAATACCTCCCAGCTTATTGACTGGCCAGTCGAAGAGTGTGGCGCTGCATGGATAATGAGAGCGTGAAAACCCAGGTCTAGAATCCCTGCGTTTGTGTTTCAGAACGGTACTATTGTGCCGTGCGTCAGTGTCTGTTAAATGTTAGGTTACTGTGAATTTGCATAACAATAAGGTCGCTTTGCACTTGCGAGGCATACGTTTTTGTGTGGTTTCTTAGTCTTGGCGAACTGAAATTATATATTTTAACATTTTCTATAAACTGATAAATCGATATATTAATAATAAATTAAGCGAAAGTGTAAATAAATATGTTGGCCTTTCAGTAAATCATAAGTATTTCATTAAAAGCAGCAATTTCACGAAGTCTTAAACAAAAATAGAAGCTTTGAATAACAAGTTACAGCAATTATACGCATCTTAAAAGACACAATGCTACAGGCTACTTGAAGAAAAGAAGCTGAAGGGGGTTGGGAGCAGGCTAACTTCTGAGTTCACTGTCGTTGGCAAGAACTCAAGTAGGCCTACCACTATCTCTCCACAATCAAGAAGTCTTTCACCATCAAGTGGTGCCACTGTGTGTGCAGAGCCAAATTAGGCCACCCTCTGGACGTAATAGACACCTCTGTAAATTTAATTGGTGGAGCTTAACCTAAAATTTAGGTTTAGGCATATAGGGTTAACTTGGGTAGGTTTAGGGTGTGGCTGGACCTTCAAGCTCCACCCATTATGCCCAGAGAAGGGGAGCTCCACGTCAGTCTCCACCCATTGGCTCTATAATGATACCCTGCTAGCACATGTAGCTATCTCAGTCTAGTCAGTGGATGTGCGTGTTTACATCTGGAAGTATTTTTTTTTAGTGTTTGCTCATCTGCAATATGCCTCTAGGACGTTTCCTGTCAGACGTTAAATATAGATTTAGAAAACGTCTCTCAGATGTTTGTACACAGCAAATGCTTTCTAGATGAAGCACTCTTTAACAGACATCTTGCAGATGGATATGTGCTATCTGACACTTCTTACTCAAGTTTTTCTTACAATATTATTTCAGTTGAGCATCTGATTGTATTTATGCTTTTCTGAACTCACATTAAAGTGCTTTACTAACTATAAAATTGCAAGGTGGTCCAGGGCTAGTTGTCACACTTTTTATTCCAGTGAATATCCTAGGCTACTTCTATTTTTGTCTTGGGTAGTTTTTTTTTTTTTTACAATTTCTATATAGCAACAAAAATTCACTTGAACAAACTCATTGAACAAAGTTCATTGAATGCACAATAGTGGGACAACCCAACCTCCCCATAGTTATTAGCAATGATGTTTTTGAGTGTAACAAGGTTTAAAGGCTCAGGGAAGGAGGCAGGAACCGGCAAACGATCAACGTAACTTTAAAGACAAAAATAATCAAACAGAAAAACGAAAGTAAAACAGCAGCCCCTCACAGACGACTGTCGCATAAACATAATAAAACACAACATAAATGTCCCAGCCAGGCCTGGTTCTGTCGTCTTGCACTGTCGTCAGTCCTCCTTTTATCCTTCCGGAGCTCCTCCGTGAGATTCGAGACCGGTGTAGCGCGCAGGTGACGTTGAGGTGACCTCTGTCCCGCCCTGATTGCCACATTGAGCTTGAACAATAGAGTGCTGCAGTGATGACATTTTTGTAGGCTAATCCGGAAGTTAGCATTCTTGTTCCCTCGACAAAAACCTAATAGGATTTTCCCCATATAGGCTTTGAGACTAAAATGGTACTAAAATGCTAATTCTATTTTGCCAGCAGCCATATCACCCTGTAGCCCAAGACTGGTTGCCCACTGAAGCTAAGCAGGGCTGAGCCTGGTTAGTATCTGGATGGGAGACCTTCTGAGAAAACCAGGTTGCTGCTGGAAGAGGTGTTAGTGAGGCCAGCAGGGGGTGCTCACCCTGTGGTCTGTGTGGGTCCTAACGCCCCAGTATAGTGACGGGGACACTATACTGTCAAAGAGCACCGTCCTTCGGATGAGACGTTAAACCGAGGCCCTGACTCTCTGTGGTCATTAAAAATCCCAGGATATCTTTCGAAAGAGTAGGGGTGTAACCCCGGCATCCTGGCCAAATTTGCCCAGTGGCCTCTGTCTATCATGGCCTCCTAATCATCCCCATATATATATATACACTGATTGGCTTCATCACTCTGTCTCCTCTCCACCAGTAAGCTGGTGTGTGGTGGGCGTTCTGGCGCACTATGGCTGGCGTCGCATCATCCAGGTGGATGCTGCACATTGGTGGTGGTTGAGGAGATTCCCCCTTCCATGTGAAGCACTTTGAGTGCCTAGAAAAGCGCTATATAAATGTAAGGAATTATTATTATTATTATTATTAATTCGTTTCCAGGTTTTGGCCTACAAAAATACGTCATCCTAGCCTGACTTCGTCATACTCATATTCTAGTCAGAATGTGAGTCTGATACTGCTCCATAGGGCTTTGATTATGAGGCGTGTCTTAATCGAACCAGGAAAAAACAACAACTCTGGACTCAATTGGATAGACCTATAACCAATCAGGGCAACGCAGTAAATGACGTATGTTGAGCGACTCATATCAACAGAACTGAACTGCACTCCACGCACTCACGAAAAAGTATTTAAAAGAAAAATGAGTGTTAACGACCTTTGCCGGTGTTGCAAAAAGAATTTAAGGATAAGCAGAGTACGTGCAAACTCGAAAAACATTTTTGAACGAAATAGAAAATGTGAATGTATATACGAACAAGTTCTCCGTTTAGGATTAGATCTCGACAGTAAAGCCAACAAATCTACTCGCATTTGTCTGACCTGTCCATAGGACCTGTCTCAATTTTATAACAGGATTGGAGCGCGACTTGACTGATTTTAATAAATGGAGAGACAACGAAAGACACCAGGCTGAAGAAGCGTTCATTTGAGTCTTCAGAGAAAAGAGACCGGGAGCCAAAATTATGTTTTAATGATGATTTAAATACAAAATGATGAGTAATTCTTGTACTTGTACTTTGTCTTGTTTATTTGTTCTGTCTTGCGTGGTGTTTTGGACATGAGTCTGGCAAATAAACTGAATTGAGTAACATCATCTAATTAGTTATATTTCAAAAATAAACCGCTCATAAGGGGTACAGTGATTACCAGTATGGGTATGGTGTGCGAGTATAACAAAGCGTCACCATTGTTTGATGTAGCGATGGCTTTGACATGAGTTGCATCGCCCTGATGCCCATTTCGGTTGCTTCTTTTACTTGGTCTTCCATGAGTGCGACCAAACGAGAAACCACAATGACAACAGGCTTTTCATTGCGTCCCATATTCTTAGCGACCATCGGAGCCAGCTGATAAAATAAACTTTTGCTGAATCCCGTAGTAAGGACGGCAAACACATCTTGACGATCGACAAATGCCTTTATTGCAGTTCTCTTTTTGTCTTTAAAAATTAATGCCCTGTCGATTTCTTTTACAACAGACGCGATAGCGGAATCTATACATCTTAATTCTCCAGCTGCAGTCATCTTTGAGGGAAACCAGTTCAACCCAAGCGCTCTTTGATGACGTGAGGATTACGTAACTGCAGATCATCTGTCCATCATCGTATAAAGCCCGCCCTGGCAATTTGATTGGCCCGAACATTTTTTGACTGATCATAATTACTCCTCAATGGATCGAGTCCAGACCGAACTTCCCGACCAAAAAATGTTGTGGGCGGGGTTCGGGCTGGCATCCAGGCTAACGTCATCCCTGCAGCACTCAATAAATATAATATGATATATGTTGTATATAATAACAACTGGGGTATACATTACAAACTTTGAGTTCATCATAAATTATAACAATATAGTAGCCTACTCTTTTCAATATAAGAGTAAGTAGTCCTACACACTCCATGTTACTTGTCAGCTTGATCACTAATAATATGTCATGAAATATTTTGAATCTACAAATAATAATAATAATAATATTAGAAAAAATAAAAATCTAGAACAGGGTTTAATGGCTGTTTCCTTTGCTTTATGCAAATGAAAATTTCCATGCAAAATGAACAATTGTGTAGTGTCATCATCAACTATGTAAACGCCAGTGATACAGTGTAAAACAATCATCATGGGTTCGTCTATTTTAAATATTTTATGAAATGGATAGGACGATGTATTAAAATCTGTTTTAAATGTATTAGTATCGCTGGGCGCCAGTGAACTGAGTCTAGAATGGGCACACTAGCACAAAACCCGTCTATTCAAAGCCACGCCCACAGAGTCAGCGCTACGTGCTTTAAAGATGGCGGCATGTGTGAGTGTGGGATCTGATGTTTTTATTAGCCTCAACTTTGTGATTTGAAGTTCTGTATTTAGGTAGACGGTAAAGGTCAGGTTTCTGTAGATCGCTTAGACTCGCGCTCTCCGTCGTAGGGCAGATAGACGGGGAGGTGATCGGTCAGGCTTGAAGAGGTAGAGTTGGTGGACAGTTTGACACGCTAAAACTGACAGCTGTAACGTTAATCAGCTAGCTGTTCACGTACACCTAGAAAGGGCATCGTTCACGAAACCTTCAGCAAATGTGACCTTCTGTGCGTCCAACACTGCGTAGCCAGTAGGCGACACCCAGCTAGTCAGATCACATTGGTAGGTTTAGAAAGTAAGATTAGGTGCTTACTGCTTTGCCATTGTAATCAGGTGACCTGCGAGTCTCTGAATGCTGCTGGTTACATTAACTTGCAAACCTTACAACCCCATAGATAAATCAGTTGTGTGTGTTTAGTGAAGTTTGTGTTGATTTTATTTATTTTGCCAAGAACCTCCAGCATTTTCAAGCTCATAAAGCCCCTTTAATGACTTGCTCTGGAAAAGTAGTTTTGACTGGTGGTCTGTCTATTTGAACAGTGACAGCAAGAGCTGCAAAATTCTACATTAAATATTTTTTCCCCTGACCATTTCTCCAATACTATTTTGCGGTAGTAGAATGCTATCCCGAGCTTTAAGGAAAACTCTTTCCTATGGAAATCCAATAGTGGCGGGTTTCACTGGGAGCTACTGTAGTCGTCTGTGTTTTCATCAGACCGCCGCGTGTAAAGTTGCTTCGCAAGCTGAATGTGGCTTCAAACCTGCGAAGGTGGCGGTTGTGACTAAGACCACACGATATGAATTCGAGCAGCAGAGATATCGATATGCGGGACTGTCGGAGGAGGATCTAAAACAGCTGGTAAGCAGACGCTTGTGAAGAGGTGAATAGGGTCTGTTTATCTATGCATTGATCAGATACACCGGTTTATCTTGTTACAGAACGTTTAAGGCGGGTGCTGTATTACAACAGACATAAAAAAGTATCTTCAAGTAATGATAAATACTTTTGGCTTTACCTATACATTTCTTTGGGGAGGCAAAATTCAAAATCATGTCCCAGTTATAGCCTACTTAATATTGTCACATTTTCCTGGTTAAATAAACATTACTTCAAATTACATAAAAAAGAAACAAAATGCTAATCTTATTTTTTTTACATTAAAAATGTAATTAATGTTCTATTTATTAAAACCAAGTAAACATCAAATTAGTGGGGGTTTTTTTATAGCATTTTTTACATTTATTTCAAAATAACAATTTACAACTAAAGCCAGTAACAATTTAAACAATATATTTTATTTGTGAACTGATGTTCAGCTGTTCTTTTTAATAGTCAACTTATTTTTGGATCATCAGTTATGCTCTGTAAACACTGGTCACAGACAAGATATACCTTTAATTTCACCAAGCTGATTGCTCAATAAAACTCCCAGAGTCATCATGTTTTCAGGCCATTTCAAGTTTGATTTAGTGACAAAGCGGTGATATCTGACTGATTTACTGACTTTTAAATAATAATAGTAATTCATTACATTTATATAGCGCTTTTCTCGGCACTCAACACGCTTTACATAGAAGGGGGAATCTCCTCAACCATTAAAATTAGTCTTCCCATCAACGTCATCATTTTGTTCATTCAGACTGATTCGTGAACGCGCCCGAAAACAAGAGGCAGGATTTATCGCACAAACCAATCATAGCTCAATGGAGGCATTGCCTCCTCTCACATGACTTTCCCTCATTCATTCTCAATTACCCCCCTCTAAACCCACCGCACGCTTTAGGTGGGTCTGTTAAAGGTCTGTTAAAACTCAATGGGCTCAGGGGAGGCAAGAGAGACACGAACTCCAGCTGTAACTTTACCTGCTAGTGTCACTGTTGGACAGTGTTATTTTAGAAAAACGAGTGATTTAATCCCTATTTAATGTCACACTTTGTAATATTTGTGTTTTTTTATTTTTGTAATATGGGTTATTTTTCTTTCAATTTTTTGAGGAGGCACTGCCTTCCTTGCCTCCTCGGAGGAAATACCCCTGATTTTAACCCGCTATTCGAAAAAAACCAAAGGACTTTCTTCCGGGTTGACCTACAAATTGACATCATAAATTAAACAGTTCTATCCACCTTATTTTTCAACGCGGAAGTAAGCTATTTACTGTGAATGTGCAAGACCTCCAGTTCATTAGCCGCTATAGGGAAATGACGAGAAGAATAACAAAGTGCAGTTAATGGTAAAACTGTTTGTGGTACAAAACAGCGTGTTTATAATTAAGCCACTAGATTAGGGAAGAAATACCAGTCTGCAATAACAAGCAGCATAACCAGCTTTTTGTACAGCGACACATTTAATTTACAAATGGCCACGGACACTCTTACATGAAAAATAAGATCGATAAATTCTGCATTAAGGCATTTTCATTTCAGACTTTTTTGTATGTAAAAACTTTTACATAATCTTAAAATACATTTTAAGATGTTAAGGATTAAAGTTTCCTTTAAAACAATTCTCGCCATTTGTTGGCGATTTGTTGGCGATGATGTCATTTGTAAATTTCCATACTGAACTGTGATATATATATATATATATATAAAAGTGTATGTGTGTGTATATATATATATACACACACACATAATATTTTTAGTTTATTGCAAAATATTCATTTATGTATATTCATAAAAATACAAACATTAAAGTATTTTGAGAGCGTAGAGAGATCGACTCGATTACGTCATTGGCAGTGCTTAATTGGAGTGGACAGAGCTAAAGAGCTATTTTGGCCTGTGTTGTTGTTTTTTTTGTCTCTCTGATTGGTGTAATTTTCGGTATCGTGGATAATGTAGTTTTTCACTTGGAATTCCACTGTTAAACATGATTATTTTACACTAAGCTGAATAAAAGTGGGCTGATGGCTACAGCAGAAGCAAATAACATCAATTAACAACCCCGTAGCTCAGAGAAGGTCTGTCTTCAAAGGTTTATAAGTTATCGTTCAAAATAAATTTCCTATGGACAAAATGAATGGAGTGCTTCATTTTCACCTGGAATTCTGCTGTTGAATATGATTATTTAAACCATGATGGCGTTAACAAAATCATCTATTAACAACTATGTAGCTCATAGGTTTATGTTGAAAGGTTTAAAGTTATTGTTCAAAATCAATTCCCCTGATGGAGAAAATGAATGTGATTTTTATTTCCGGAACCCGATTTACTTGTTGCAATTCTCTGATGTAGATTGTTTTCATTAACATGGTTAATGACCTATTTTTATCAGCAGGAATACCACTGTTAAACATGATCATGATTAAAAATCAATCCTCCTATGGAGAAAATGAGTGGGATTTTTTTTTTTTTTTTTTACTTCTGGAACCACCCTCACTTTCTCCTCCCCCTTTTACCTAAATCTTTTTACTTTGCCACTGTTTTCTGCCTTCTGTTTTCTGACAGTGTTTAATTGTATTGCTCAACAAAAGAAGTATGTTAATATGTTACTTCCCTTTCCTGTTGGTACTATTGTTAGCTCAATTCAGTAGCAAGCAAAATGGGCTTAACAGTCCACCAACAATGCCTGCAGAAAAATTGTATTAAGAAGTCCAAATAACTCCACACAATGTTAAAAGACTGTTTATTTTTACTAGTGATTATATTTTCAAGAAGCAATACATTGTTTATGATTTTTAATCTGTCGTCTTCTTGTCATCACAGCTTGCCCTAAAAGGATCCAGTTACATTGGGCTTCTGGAGAGACACAATATACACACCTTTAATGTTGGACAGATTGTGGACAGTCTACAGTAAGATGACACTCAAAAATGGAAATTCTGACAGTATTTGAAATAATTTTCAAACAATTTTTAAGACAGTCCTTTCATCTTTGTAGGAAACAGGGGATTGAGGTGCGCATTGTAAAAAGAGGAGAATATGACGAGGACACAGTACGATGGGCCGATGCCATTATCTCTGCTGGAGGTAAAGCTCAGGGGCCTCATGTATCAACACTGCGTACACACAAAAACACGGCGTACGTCAGCTTTCACGTTCACGGCCAGATGTACTAACAGTGAAATTAACTTAAGAATGTGCGTTCCTCCAAGTAAACTTCATGTCTGGCGTACGTACATTTGTCGTGATTTTTGTCCGTTGGCGACTCATAGAGGCAATAAAGTGAAGTGGCAAACATTACACTACGAATTGTTCTATCGCACCACCAGCTGTCAGATATTGCTTATAATTTGTAATTGATAAATTATTTGACATATTATTGTCACACGAGTTTTATTAAAATATTATATTATGCAAAAAAGTAAGAACCCAGGGGCCTCATGTACAAAGACTTGCGTTGAATTCATACTAAAACATTGCGTACGGACAAAGCTGTAAATGTGCGTGCGCACAAAAAAAAGCAGATGTATGAATCTCTGCGTACGAAGGATACCACGCATATTCTTTGTACATCCCAATTAACGTAAAATTGAGCGCACATGCACGAGCACAACGCCCCACCCAGTCTCCTCCCCCAATTAAATTAATTTAAATATGGTAATTAGTCCAATTTGTCAAAAGAAACCTGCAAGAACATGGCTAAAGCAAGCAAGAAACGAAATTTCACTGAAAATGTCTTCTATGTAAATATATAGTAAAGTGTAATTTATTCCTGTGATCAAAGCTGAATTTTCAGCATCATTTCTCCAGTCTTCAGTGTCACATGATCCTTCAGAAATCATTCTAATATGATGATTTGATGATCAAGAAACATTTTTGAGTATTATCAGTGTTGAAAACAGGTGTGCTTCTGCTTCATATTTTCGTGGAAACCGTGATATAGTATTTTCAGGATTCTTTAATGAATAAAAACTTAAATCAAACAGATATAGAAATCTTATAATCTTTTGTAACATTATAAATGCATTTACTCTCACTTTTAAACAAATTCAATGTGTCCTTGCTGAATAAAAATTTTACTTTCTTTTTTTTATCTTTACTGACCGAATTAATGAAGTTTATTTTTTATTCCTAGTTAAGCCAACACTGCCATTGCTAGACGGGTTGCATCAGTTTGCACATGCTTTATATATGTTCTTACTTAATTGCATAATAGAATATTTTAATATGACTCGTGTGACAATAATATGTCAAATAATTTATCAATTACAAATTATAAGCAATATCTGACAGCTGGTGGTGCAATAGAACAATTCGTAGTGTAATGTTTGCCACTTCACTTTATTGCCTCTATGAGTCGCCAACGGACAAAAATCACGACAAATATACGTACGCCAGACATGAAGTTTACTTGGAGGAACGCACATTCTTACGTTAATTTCACTGTTAGTACATCTGGCCGTGAACGTGAAAGCTGACGTACGCCGTGTTTTTGTGCGGACGCAGTGTTGATACATGAGGCCCCTGGTGTTTGGTTTTTATACTTGATTGTTTAATTGTGCACCAGTTGACATATGAGAGATGGTTTCACAGGACTTTATGCAAGTAATTTTTTGCACTTGAACAGACATATTCAAACTAAATTATGTCAAAATGCCCATCTTGGGAAGTATCCACGTAAACTTAAGTCTTTAGTGAACAAACAGTATATTGATTCTTAAACTCTTAAAGTTTTAGCAGCCTAATATTCCTAATATAAGAACAATCATTCATCTTGACTGAATAACTTTTGTAACTTTAATAATCGGTTTTATGGCTGGTAAAAAAAAAAAAATATGGCCGGTAAAGTCACCGGCCATTGGCAGGTTTGGCAAACACTTAATTTTAGGCCCTGCATATACATATTATTTGTGTGTGTGTGTGTGTGTAAAATTCTAACAGACATTATTTCATAGGTGATGGAACCATGCTACTTGTTGCCAGTAAAGTGTATGATAAGAACAAACCTGTATTGGGGGTCAATACAGACCCAGAAAGGTAATAAAAACTAGCCTATAGTGATTTTAAGTTTATGGTAACACTTTACTTAAAGCCCTTATGCATAATGCATTATAAAGGGATTCATAATGTTATAAAGCATTTTATATTTTCATAAATAATTGTTACCAAGTTAAAATGCATCATAATATTTGCAGATTCTGAAATTGGTTGTTTGTCATGTGTTTTAATGCATTATACTTTCTACAGGTCTGTTCAATGAATAGATAAGTATTATAATGTATCAGAAATGTGGTTACAATTATTCATGAGACCATACAATGCATTATAAGGTGCATTACATGGCATAATTAATGCATTAAAATACTTTTATAATGCATTATACGTAAAGGCTTTAAAGGGATACTCCACCAGTTTTTCTTATTAAACTATGTTATTCCCTTAACTAAGACGAGTTGATACATACCTCTCTCGTCTCAGTGCGTGCACTATATCGCTCTGTATTGCCGCAAAACTATGTTAGCACTTAGCTTAGCCCATGCATTAAATATGGGCCAAGCAGAGAAGCGACCAAACACTTCCACGTTTTCCCTATGTAAACACAGTTACTCGAGTAGTGTAACTTGACCTGGGCTGGTGACACAAAATAAACCGTTGCGCTTTTCTAAGCGTTTAAAATTGATGACTATATTGTATGGCGGAATACCATAACAAGTGCTTTTGAGCACTTCGACTTGGCGCAATAATATCTTCACTCGTGAAAAGATTACCGGCTCCCGCTTCCTCTCCCCCTCCCTCCAATAGCATCCAGCTGCTGACATTTCCGTCAATACTACCAACGTGACTTTTACTACCTGTGCGTGCTATTAGCAAACCGCAGATCATTTGCAATGGCGGACTTTGTAGATGATTATGACTTCTTTTAGAAGACCCAGAGCCATATCTGTTTGAACCCGAGTACACGGAGGAGGAATTAGCTCTTGTGGACCGTGAGAGGCAAGAAAGATATGATCCAGAACAGACCGGAGCTGGCGAAAGACCACGGGCTTTCTGTAAGTGATCTGAATATTGTTGGTGTAGCCTCATCCTTTAGGCGTGTTCCTGTGCAGGTATAGTCCTTCTTTGTGAGATGTTCGGAGCAAACACGCCACTTCTTCAGAGTCATCAATGGTGTTTTGGGATTCTTGTTCAAAGCAGCTAACCAAGCTCTCCGCTGTATGTGGTGTGTTGGAATTCGGTGAAAAATGACAGCACTATGTACATTCTCCTTATTTTCACAACCCTTTACGATGCACGCTTTAACCATTATTGTACACAAACTAGCTTCCAACAACCTGTTACTTCGTCAACTCCGCTCGAACTACTACTACCGGCGCATGTCACGTTGTATTGACGGAAATGTCAGAGGGAGGGGGAGAGGAAGCGGGAGCCGGTAAGAGGACTTTTCACGAGTGAAGATATTATTGCGCCAAGTCGAAGTGCTCAAAAGCAATTGTTATGGTATTCCGCCATACAATATAGTCATCAATTTTAAACGCTTAGAAAAGCGCAACGGTTTATTTTGTGTCACCAGCCCAGGTCAAGTTACACTACTCGAGTAACTGTGTTTACATAGGGAAAACGTGGAAGTGTTTGGTCGCTTCTCTGCTTGGCCCATATTTAATGCATGGGCTAAGCTAAGTGCTAACATAGTTTTGCGGCAATACAGAGCGATATAGTGCACGCACTGAGACGAGAGAGGTATGTATCAACTCGTCTTAGTTAAGGGAATAACATAGTTTAATAATAAAAACTGGTGGAGTATCCCTTTAAGTTAAGTATTACCAGGTTTATTTGTTTCATAATGTACATGTGTTTTTGTATATGAAGGTCAGAGGGCCACCTGTGTTTACCTGTGCGCTATACACAAGCCTTTTCTGAGGCCTTACGGAAACTCAGGAAGGGTGAGTTCAGGTAGGTCCTTCTTATTTACTCTTGCTTCTAGTCGGCAGTAATCCAATTTGCTATATAATCCAATTTGCAATCAGTTGTTTTCTTCTATACTTCTTGCTAAAGTACTCTGCAAAAGGCTATTTTATTTATATAGCACATTTCAATTCACAATTCAGAGCACTTTACATTTAAAAAGGAATACAAAATAATGATAAAATCATAACAGATGTTTCAGAAGTCAAATAAAAAGTAAAAAATGTGATTCTAATAAAAATGTATACAAAATATATTAAAAACAAAGGAGAAGAAAAGATTAAATGATTCATATTTATCCTCTTATCATCAATGACTGTGATTGGTCCAGCCCTACCAGGGTGGAGAAAAGTAACAGGCTACACTTTATTTTAAGGTGACGTAGTTACATTGTACTTACTCAAATAAGTTACTGAGTTATATTAATTAACTACATGTACTTACTATAGAGTTATGGTTAGGATTAGGGTTTGGTGTAGGGTTAGCTACTTGTAATTATGCATAATGTAAGGTTATTACTATAGTAAGTACATGTAGTAACGTGTAACTATGTCACCTTAAAATAAAGTGTTTATTACCCACAGTTTAAGTGCTGCTATTTAGCTAGATTGAACCTGACCAATAAGAGACAACTTCAGAGCTGCTAAGATCTACCCGTTTTTGGAGTCGCCTGTTTCATTCTAAACATCATTGTACCTGCTTTATGCCGTCAATATTTTCCCCTTCTATCTTCACTAGGTGGCAGTGGCGTCAGCGTATCCGTATGTACTTGGAGGGCACCGGGATCAACCCGACTCCAGTGGACCTGCATGAGCTGCAGCTGAGCCTGGAACAGCACAGCAAAGCACACCGTATCACCACTGAGACTCAGCGCAGTAAGAGTCCCGTACCACACATTACTATCTCAACCAAACATTCCTCTCTGCTGCTCTACTGAGTCTCACAAATACTGGCAAGAATGTTCAGCTCATATTTCAGAGCAAAATTAAGGAGAAAGGATGATTTTTGTTACTTTATTATAGTAATGTGAATGAGATTTTTGGTGCTTAATTATTGCAGAAAATATAAAATATAATCAATTTAAATAAAGTATTATAATATATATAACATACACACACACACACACACACATATATATGTATATGTGTGTGTGTTGTATGTGTATATTTAGTCTTTTCATTTGTAATTTTTATATATAATAAATATTTTTTCAGTCTGTTAATTAATTATTTATTTTTTTTCAACAATAATCAAGCACATTTTCCCCAAAACGTCTCATTATTGTATTGTAAAATAATCTTCTCATTACTGTAGTACAGTAATGAAAATCAGCACAGCATATAATATAAATGTTTTAAAATAAGTCTCTTCTGCTCTTAAGGCTGCATTTATTTAATCCAAAATACAGCAACAGTAATATTGTGAAATATTGTTTCAATTTAAAATAACTGTTTTCTACTTGAATATATTGATGGCGAAGCTGAATTGTCAGCATCATTACTCCAGTCTTTGGTGTCACATGATCCTTCAGAAATCATTCTAATCGATGCTCATTTCTTATTATTATTATCATCAATGTTGAAAACAGCTGTGTAAATTTTTTTCCCCAGGATTCTTTGATAAATAGAAAGTTCAAAAGAACAGCATTTGTCTGAAATGGAAAGCATTTGTAACATTATAAATGTCTTTGCTATCACTTTTGATCAATTTAATAAAAGTATTAATTTCTTTAATTTATTTCCAAAAAAATAAAATAATAATTCTGGCCCCAAACTTATGAACTGTAGTATAATGTTACAAAAGCTTCTTTTTTTTTTTTTTAACATCATATGATGCTGAAACCAACTCATTTTAAATTATATTCAAATAGAAAACGGTTGTTTTAAAATGAATCAATATTTCACAATATTTCTGTTTTTACTGTATTTTGGATCAAATAAATGCAGCCTTATGAGAGCAGAAGAGACTTCATAAAATTATACCGATCTAAAACCTTCTTTGTGAGGTTCACCCAAACAGGGTTATTATATTTATATTATATTGAATTTATAGTACATTGATTTTAGTGTAAGTTTAATTTTAAATTTTTATTTGATTAGTTTTAGTTTTCTGCAGAGTTATTAGTTATTTAGTGTTTTATTTTTAGTATTTTAAGGCTGATAATGTTAATGCACCTATTGGTATGATTTGAAAATATGTATCTGTTAAATTTCCCAATTCGTTCTAGTGTTATTGCTGTTTACTGGCATTTCATGTTTCATGCAGTCCTGCCATTCTGCTGTGAAAATCTGACTAATTCCATCGTAACTAACTCCTAACTATTGTTAGAGGAGACAACAACGATATCATACTTTTGCGACAGGTACGACACACGACAGTTCTGAAAGGCCTCACCTACTCCCTGTCCGAGGGCTCAATGAGATCTTCATCGGGGAATCTCTGTCCTCCAGGTATATATCGCTGCCCTCCTGTCTGTGATGTTGTGGAACCAGTCGCCAACCTTATCCCAAGGACACTGCATCTCATCAACCACGTTTCCTCCTTCACTTCATGCACCCCCCCCCCCCCCCCCCCCCCCCCATCTCCCCTTACTTGTGGATTTCTGTTTGCCACAGGGTGAAGTATAAATCCTTCAAACCCCATCTTACACTCTCGCTTCATAGGGCTTCATACTATGAAATCTCCATCGATGACGGGCCGTGGGAGAAACAGAAGAGCTCAGGGCTCAGCATTTGCACTGGAACTGGATCTAAAGCCTGGTGAGTCAAAGCATTACTTGACTGAAATGATCTGATATGATCTTATATTGTCTGAGTTACCAAATCATTATTCTTTCTTCGTCCAGGTCCTACAATATTAATAAGCTTGTGGAGCAGGCAGTGGAGGATGTCCTTAGAATAGGTTAGAAACACAAAAAGTCAAAAAAAATACATTTGCGCTATGACAGCACAGTTTACAATCGACAGTCAGTACAAGCATGATTTCGATGTTTTCTGTATCTTAGGAAAATCAAAAACGGGTTTGGATGTTCCTCTAAATCGGGAGTTCATTGCGAGTGGTGAGTTCACAATAGAATATCTGGTAACACTTTACAATAAAGTTCCTTTTGTTAACTATATTAGTTAACATGAACTAACAATGAAAAATACTTGTAAAGCATTTATTAATTTTAGTTGATGTTAATTTCAGTATTTACTAATGTTATTAAAATCAAATGTTGTGCCTGCCTGGTAATATTATTTAAGGTACCTGAACTAACATGGACTAACAATAGACAGTTGAATTCTTATTACCTGACGTTAACCAAGATTAATAAATACTGTTACAAATGTATTGATCATTGTTAGTTAATGTTAGTAATGCATTAACTAATGGAACCTTATTGTTACGTGTTACCGAATATCTTTTTTTAAAATTAGTAAGTAAGTGTCATTTGTTTTTAAAATGACTTTTTATAGTTTTAAATTACTATTCTGTTAAATTATTTTACTTATAAAATTAATATTCTGCCATTTAAATAATTTTCTCTCTTTTTGTGTTCAGTGACTGAGACATACAATGAGTCTCTAATCTTCGGCCCAGAGGAGGACAAACTTTTCTTCAGTATAAGGGAGCCTATTGTCAACAGAGTATTTTCCAATAGCCGACAAAGAGGTTTTGCCAAAAAGTACGTTTTCATTTCCATCCTCACCATTATTATATTAACTCTTTCCCCACCATTGACAGAAATGTCTGTCATTTGTGAGAAAACGCTTCCCCGCCATTGATGGAATGTTCCGGTGTTCCATATTTTCACTGTTATACGCTAGGGGGCGCTATTAAAAAAAAGAGCACTGAATCTCCTGATCTCAACTTTTGTTGTTGTTTAAAAGCAGAGAGTCTGTTTCTTCTTTTGATGTATTGCATGTTTAGATATTCATACAACAAAATATTCTGGGGCTATGAAATTTGTGAAAATGATCAAAAACGCTGGCGGGGAAAGAGTTAATATTAAACTTGATTAAGGTTAACTTCTACCTATTTTAACATTTGAACATATGTTTGTTCATAATACATTACTTATTAACAATAGAATACTCATAAAATTGACAGATTTTAGGTTGTTAAATTGTTTGTTAGTTCACAATACCTAATCCATTAACCGTTAACAAATCAAACCTTATTTTAAAGTGAATTCTTCATACCCCCGGTTTCACAGACAAGGTTTAAGCCTAGTCCCAGACTAAATTGCATGTTTGAGCTGTTTTAACTGAAAGCAACTCGCCTCACACTGAGATTTCTAACTATGTCAGTGCCATTCTTTTGACTTAATGCACACCAGTAATAAGACACGTTTATAAAAAGTTACTTAAATGTCCTAATTGAACTAAGAGCTAATCCTGGTTTAATCTAAGCCCTGTCTGTGAAACCAGGCCCATATATTTTTGACTAAAAGGCCGTTAAAAATTCTGCTTGTTCTCTATAGGGTTTGTGTCCGCTCAAGGTGCTGGGATGCCTGCATGGTGGTGGATGGTGGGACGTCCTTCGAGTTTAATGATGGTGCCATTGCTACCATCAGCTTAAATGAGGAGGACCTGTTGCGAACTGTCATTCTTGATTAAATCATTTGATACATCATACTGTTGCTCCATGAACTATATTAAGGACTGAATGATTGTCTTTAGACTTTGAGATGGACATTGTGTTATTTAAGCACTGAGTTTTAATGGATGATGTTTGCAGATGAAATGTACATATCAGGATTTCACACTTTAAATTACCCTCTTTGGTTGCACCCCCCAGAAATGAACATTCATATTTTTCCTAGACACATCAGCATTAGATGTCAAGTGTCACATCACTATTGCTTTATTTAAACAATATTCCAGAAATGCCCATGTTACTGAAATGTGATTGGAACTTTTTGTTGACAAGATTATTTATAATACATATTGAACACTGTTGTGCCAAACATGCACAAAGTATTATGTTCATGTAGAAGTCTGAAACAGCTACCCATGAAAAAAAGAAACTTGATATTTCAATGTTTTTGAGGTACACAATAGGGCAAATGGCAACTCTACCCCATCAGGTCAAACCATTATGCAAAAGCTTGTTGAAAACGTGTCAGAAGTATTTTGTAAAACCACATTTTCAGTTTTTAAAAATGTCTGCATTTGTGTTTTAATGCATCATTTACACTTGGAAAGTATCATTTTGTGTGACTTATGAAACAACTCACATGAGGATGACTTTAAATAAAAAGCAATACATTTATTAACAATTCAGATTATGTAAACAATTCATAAAATTACATTTACATGTCAAAGTTGTACAAAATTCAAGTTTTCCCATATTAAAACTGGTCAGAAAAATGGAAGATTCACAATATTTTCTCTGCTGCTAAAGCACCTGTGGTGCAAGGCTTTTGTATGGTAAAATAATTCAGAAACAGTATAAAACAACCATAAAATCATTATCTTATTATTACTAAACTAGACCTTTGATAATCCTAAAGTAAAACTGGAAATGTACTTGATCTGGGCAGGAAAACAGATCTTGCATCTGACAAACAGAACCTTCTATATTCTAGATTTCACCTGAAACAACCAATCTAGTAAAACGGCTATTGGTAACAAACAGTTAAAATATACCACTAACAATCTTTTACCACAAAATAAGAGTGGTTGTGGTATAAAATATGATCTTTGCTGCAACATAACAAGAACACCACTCAATTCAAGATTGTCAGGACCTCTAACACAATTATCACCTTCACAAAATTGAAACTGACTTACTAGTGATGTTTAAGACATTTTTAAAACCACAATTAATAGGTCACAGTAAGAGAAATATTGATCTATTTGGTTTACCCTGTAATCATCCTGGATTAAAAACATTAATGTTTGTAGACGAGTCGGCAGTGCATTCCCCAAAGTGTGCGATCTTTTCTTGATGACGAGGTGGGACGTGCCACAGTGGAGAAAGGCTGTGTGTTGATCTGTATGTGCGGTAGACCTTTACAAAGAATGGGCAGGTAGCTGTCCTGTATGAGCCCGAAGACCTCCAGGGTCTGCAAATTTAGAAACTTTTCAAAGTCACTGTAGAGGGGAACAAAAAAGAGAAAGAATATTTATTGCTTGTATGTAGACTATATATAAAAGCACTCGAAGAGAGACCATGTTGTCTTTTCTTTCTGAACTCCAATCTCTCAAATCTCTTACATGAGAGAAGCTGGGTGGATCTGATAACAACGGCTCAGTCCCAGATGTTTCAGGGAGGAAAGTTGCTGCAGGACTAGGAAACTGTCTGTCGTCACAAGCACACTATCACTGTAATAAAACATATAACCGAATGTTAACCTTCTGCTGTGTGCTATTAATTATGCATCTGATCCACAATCATCTTCCCAAATCACAAACTCACCTCAAATCTAGGTTTGTGAGGTTCGGACATCTTTTTACTATAGCTTTGACATCTGAAACACAAAAATGTATAAATTATCTTTGAAAAAATGTCACACAAAAAGCCGAACTCCATGCTTTCCTCACCTTCCATGATGAGGTTTTGTCTGTAACCACTGATGTTCAGTTGAGTGACGCTGGAGGGAATGTTGTTAGCAATGGCTTGAACATGAAGATTGTTGAAGTCACACCACGACACGTTCATTTCTTCAATTCTGGATTGAGAAAAAGATGTTGTGGGCTTTACAATAATGAATACATCAACATATAAAATTAAATAAATAATAAAAAAAAGTCACCATAAAACAGAAAAATCTCCTCCTCAAGCTTAATACTACTACTACTACTACTACTAATAATAATAATAATAATAATAATAAAATACTTTGTCCTTGAATTTACTATGATCAAAAGTGAAAGTAAAGGCGTTTTATAATTCAGTGTTTCCCCTAGAAATTTTTCCAGCAGCGGTGCCATTTCAAAAAATTTACTTAACCATGACTTCTGGCAAGTTTTGTGGATAGAAATGGACATTTTCAGACATACAAATATGACATATCAACAGATTCAAGGCATGATTATTGCAGCACTTTGAACTGGTCACAAACAGAAACCATCATTTTATAATTTTAGACAGGATTATTCACGTTTTTCTTTTGTGTTAATTTATTGTTCACTCAATGTGTTGATGTTAGATAACGCATTAAGTAATGTTAATGAATGGTATCTTATTGTAGTGTTACCAAACTATACAGAAGATAAAACTGCTAAGAGTTATCCAGCCAAGATTAAGCCTAGAACTACTTTTCTGATGGACTAATATTAATGACATAAGGATGCACCGATACTGATACCAGTACTCGGGTGTCGGACCGATACTGTGCTCATGTAGGCGACTCGTAAAACTACACCGATACAACCGCACCCGAGTCCACTTTAGGGGCCGTCCACATAGCATTTTTTGTACGCAAATTTGTAATTTCAACATCTCAACAGGTCATGTGACAAAAAACAACCAATCAGCTACGACCTTTCCGTAACATCGATAGCTCGGCCGAACTGAATGAAGTGAATGTTGTGATATTACTGATCATGTGAAGATTTTGCAGTGGCACTGAAAATACATTGTAGGGGAAACACTGTCATTTATTCAATGAATTATAAGACTTCAAATAAATGCTGCTCTTTTGACCTTTATTCAACAAAAATTCCTGAAATAAAATTATGTATAATGGTTACCTCAAAATATTAAGCAGCACAACCGTTTTTAACATTGATAAAGAAATGCTTGAGCAGCAAATCATCATATTAGAATGATTTCTGAAGGATCATGTGACACTGAAGACTGGAGTAATGATGCTGAAAATTCAGCTTTTTCATTACAAAAACAAAGTACATTTTAAAATACAAAAAAAAAGAAAATATACATTTTAAATTGTAATAATATTTTAACTGTGCTTTTGATTAAATAAGCTTTGCTGAGAACAAGAGATTTCTTTCAAAAACAATTGGAAAATCTGACCAACCCCCAAACAAAGCTGTAGATCAGTTAATCTTACCGAGAGCAAGATTTCAGCATCTCAGCCAGAGATTCAGGAGAGAAGCCAGAACAGCCACACAAATTCAGCCGGACAAACTCAGTATTTTGAGCAAGAGAACTGCAAAAAAGCAAATTAAAAAAGGTTTAGGGAATCTAAATGCAACAAAACTCCATTTAAGGACAAGTTCGGTATTTTACACTTGAAGCCCTGTTTCAAGATCGTTTCTGATGAAATAGAACGGTTAAGATTAAAATTTGGACACATGCTGCTGTCCCGAGAAATTTCGGTTTCTGTGGTTTCACAAAAATCGCTGAAAAAGATGCTTTCCAACAGGTTTTATCATAGTTGCAACCACATAAACCGAAATTTCTCGGGACGGCAGCATGTGTCCAAATTTTGATCTTAACCATTCTATTTCATCAGAAACGATCTTGAAACAGGGCTTTAAGTGTAAAATACCGAACTTGTCCTTTAAATATGTCATTTCTACATAAAATACTACAAAGATAAATAAATATGGTCGCTTGGCAGACATCCGTAGTTTCCCCACTGGTATTTAGAACTTTGTGCTGGGTTTATTTTCGTTCAACTCGTAAATACGATCTTTCCGACACAACTTGAACGCACCAAAAATCTACGGATAAGGTGTAGTGTGCAAAATGGCTTTTAGACTATCACTTACTGAATAATACTATCGGAGAGCACCAATCCTTCGAGACTGAGATTCTGTAGATGTCTGCAGCGAAACAGGATGTCTTCTAGAACAGACGTCTCCACTGTGCAGTTTGATAAATCCAAATGTTGGATGCGAAGCTTCCTGTAATTCAAACAGTACTGAAAATTACCAATGCAAGACAGCAATAACAGCAGGAATTACACAACATATCTTAACTGTGGTACTATGAAAACACATTACTCACTCTGTACTTTTAAAAGTGGGTTGACCGATGCAGGTGTGTGGACAGCGCAGCCTCAATGCCCCAGCTGAGAGCACCTGCCCAAGCTCCGCATCTAACTGAGCTTTTCCCACCAGGTCCACACCGTGCCACAGAGACTCATCAAACCTGCAAATGCAGAATTCCGACTATTAGTAATTATATCACAGGTGATCCGTGGTCTCCGAAACTTCCAACACTGGACTTACGCTAAACGATGCCAGCGCTTGCAGACCCGTGACGTCCTGAGGAGATCTTGCAGTGAGAGACGAGACAGGATTCCCAGCAACAGCTCATCAGGTAGACTGTCCCAACACCAGCCTGCTGAGGGAGGAGCAAGAAAACAAATTAGGCCTGCTCACACAGTTCATCTTATGAGCAATTACAATTCAGTAAGTGGCCATTAAAGTAATAAGGTTTTGTCTGTAGTTTCCAAGGTATTAATAAAAAGTTCTCTCATGCAACTTTCTAATTTTTCCATTCAGATAAACCTGTAAAGTCTAATGCATGAATAGCCAGGATTTTGTTTTGTATATAAAAATCAAATTTAAAAGGTTTGCACATGTGTGCATCTTAGATGTTTCATTTCATATTTGATACATCAGGCTTTTATGGACCATATAGTTTGATACTGTGAGAATATAGAGCTCACGCACGAGTGAAAAATTATTCAGAGGCCCAAACTGAACAGAAATATGCAATTTGGCACAGTATCAAACTATAAAAAAGTAAAATGAAATTCTAAAAGCTTGTAATGTACAACAATGAGATGTTCAGACTACTTGCATAAAATGCATATAAGAATTAGGTGTCAGTATCTCCTAAAAATGTCAAATATTTAAAAGCTTAGTTTTATGATCAAAGCTCTGTTGCTTTTTAATTGTGATGTCAAAATATGATGTGATGCATTACAATGATGATTGAGAAATAAACATTCCTTAAAAGCCTGGTTTATTATACTTGATACTTTCAATTTAACATGCTTTTTTCCCTAGTAACACTTTATTTTAAGGTGTCATTGTTACAATGTAATTATATACTTAAGTACTGAGTAATAACAAAAACATATACTTACTATGGGGTTAGGTTGAAGGTTAGTTGCAAGTAATGTTATTATGAAGTACATGTAACATAAAATAACAAATAAAGTGTCACCCTTTTTTCTTTAAAAAAAAAAAACCAAGTATGGATAATCAAGTAAACCCAAGTTGCATCAGTTTATTAAATGTTCATCTAGAAATATGAGCTATCAATCAGAGGGCAAAATGCATGACATAGATTGTTTATAACGGGTTCTTCAGCAGTTTTGATCACGTTGATCATTTAGAGGCTTTAGAAATTCATTTATCAAATACGATACAGTAGGCTTTATACTAGGGTTAAAATTGCACACAAACCTGATGATTCTCTTCTTTTTCTGGGGCGTCTGGCAAGAAAAAACACGTTTTCCTCATTTTCTTTCCCTTTTGCAGAAGTCAGGGGCTTTTTGTGCGGAGGTGACCACTGCTGGATGAGCTCGTTTGGAGTGTTTTCTGTGTCTAGACCCCCGCTGCAGGCGGGCCGCCTTTTCCATTTAGTCCTCAGAGGCCTGCACAAGGATCCCTCCAAATTCTCACTCAGTTCTTGAAACGGCCTACATCAAATCAAGGAAACATTAAGCAACACCACCATTTCTTGTTGTTTAAATGATATTCATAGAGGTAGCAGCAGAAAGCAACATGAAACCATTCCCTCGAGCTCCCACACATAACGTTAAGATTGTTGTAAACTGAATCTATGTAATCTGATTCTGTACAATATATAAAATGAGTATGCATAATATCTCACTACACAATATGTAATATTTGAGTTATTACAACTTTTTTGATTATTTTTATACTGTAAATTCCACGCTCACTTTGCAAGTTCTGTGATGCCCGCCATTTGTCGCGATCGCCTCTATACCAAGAATAGCCCCCATACTAACGTGCGTTTTGGAAAAACAAAACTAAATATCAACCAATGAAACCGTTAAATAGATACAAAGAAAATTCATGATTTATATTGGCTAATATAAACTCACGATTGGTGAAAAAATCATCCTCGCGCGTCACAACACAACTGGTGGCGCGCGCCGACAGCACATTCGACTAAAATGTATTTTTAAAAAGCGTCCCGTAGAACTATGCACTAGTGATCTAAAGTCATGTTTTAACAAGTAAGTTTATCACTGTGTTAAGTGCTTCTTATAATGCACCAAAAAGGTTATACAAGTTATAAAATACACCAAAGTGGAGGGAGAATCCAAAGTAGTAGTAAGTTATACAGAAACACACAAGTTTCTATTTTCAGGAAAATACGCGCTATTTAAAATACAAATCAGGATTCAGGTTTGCTACATGAAAATAAATATTATTACCTTTCGTTTGACATATTGACTTCGTAATGTACCTAAAGTATTAACTTCTGCCAACTTTTAGAAGAAGCCAGGCTTCCTTCCCCACTAGCTGGCGGCGCATTTTATTTAAACCTGCCTGTAGACCGCCTGTCCTGCTGCGATGCCATTGGCTGCAATGTGGGTGGCCGGAAGTGATGCATCTCTGACAGCGGATGGATATTGACTTGCTTGCCGCCCTCTACTGTGGAGGACTAAACAAGACCACGGTTTGTCCCATGTCAAAAACATCGTGTCAATGAACTTAAGTTACTTTTATCCCAAAGTACAATTTAAAACAGATTAGAATAAAATGAAACTGATGCACAAAATCACACATACAGGCACTAGAAACCTGTGGCTCTGTGGATTCTCAGCAACAGATCATCATCAGGTGGTAGACTCCCAATCTTTTTTTACAGTGATAGTGGTCTCAACCAACCAACACAAGCCTGCAAAGGGAGAATCAAGTAAACAAATTATGATCTCTACTTATTATAAGATGTAACATGGACTGTATGAGCAGTAGTTACGATTAAAGCTATTTAATAATAAAATTCCACTGAATTTTCTTGAAAGTATTTTCATAACACTCATGTTTTCGCAAAAAAGAAAATAAATTTGACCCATCCAAAATGGGTCATACCATTATTAGTGCATGATCGCGGGAAAATACAGCGCATTCAACTAACAGGAGATACCATAAGTGTTCAAAAGAGACATTTTCTTGAAAAATAAGCGTTTGAATCTAAATATAATTATATATCCCATGCATATATTTCCCGCACAGTTCCTATAAATTAAAATGAATGTGAAATGGTTATAATGTTTACCTCTTGACTTGAGGTCACTTTACGACTAGTGCGAACGAATAGGTAAAATACTGTTCATTAAAACAGCATACAATTCTTTTAAAAAATCATTTACAACCACAAAAAATACAAATAGATCATACGTTAATTTCGCCATTTTGAATCGAAAATTTGCTATCACATAATGTAATTAACGTTAATAAGTCTGAATGTGACGTGACAATACAGGTTTTCTGTTTCGACTTACATACAAATAAAGATGAATGATATAATTATTTACAAAAATAGTTTAAAGTAATTACTAGCCTACACAATTACAATTAGACCTAGAACTTATTTGACCGTTTATTTATTTCTCTTTATTTATTTATTTATTTAAATCCCATTTAATCCTTTATTAAAGTAGTTTAAATAACAAGACCAATTACCCCAATCCTTTCCAGTTGCCTTTCTTATTGCCCTTATCATATAGTGGCTGTACAAATGAGAATTTCAGCTGCATGGTGTAAATATTTGGTCCCCAAACAAACCTTTGATTCCCCTGAATTTGTCACATATCGTCCCCTTGGAATTATAAGGTTCTATCTGCGTTCTGAGCAGTTTTGAGATATTGAGCTTCAAAGTTTTTGCATTACATATAGGAAAATTTATATGGGGAACAAGTTTCTTTCAAACATGAAAATAACAGGGACCCTAAATGTATTCTAAATATACAATATCAAAATCCTCTCAAATTTGTAAATGGTTTTTTTTGGAATGGGTCAAACGCAGATAGAACCTTCTAATTCTAAAAAAACACTTTTCGCTTAGAATTATAAGGTTCTATCTGCCAAAACATTATTTGAACATTAAATATAAAATTAATGTTGTAACAATGTCTCAACATGTGTTAGAAAGTAAAATTTTATCCTTTCTATGACATTTATTTCATATTTTTTAGCACTTCCATGTATTTAGGACATTTCAAATTAAGCAAGGTAGGTCTAAATATTTTGTCCAGTGCAGAATCTTAATTTTCGTTACCAATTTGGTGGGTAATTAAACACATTATTGCAGAAATTGTTACTTTAATCTTTCTTTTGTTTAGACAGAAAGCAGCTACTGTAATACATCTGAGCAGGACTTTATTCCAGCTAAAGTGGGCCAGGTGAAATGGCTTTCTCTCTAGACATCAGTATGGCTGAAATAACATGCTAACGTTTATTGTTGTAATTAAGACCCCATCAATGAAATTGTTAACTATTTGACCTTTAAGGCTTAAAATTGTAAAAATTAAGACATTTCAAGACTTTAAAAACTACAAGAAAATCGACATGCTTCAGCAAATTAATTCATAAAGTTTAAAAATCATTGAAAAATTATTCACTGACTATTATGATCACAAAAAATGTCAGACTAATTTTTTAATCACACACACACACACACTCTCTCTCACTCACACACACACAGTCACACACAGTCACACACTTTCACACACTTTCACACACTTTCACACACACACACACACACACACACACACACACACACACACACACACACACACACACACACACACACACACACACACACACACACACACACACACACACACACACACACACACACACACACACACACCAACACACTTTCACACACACACTTTCACACACTCGCACACACAGTCACACACACACTTTCACACACTCGCGCACACACACACATTTTCACACACTCGCGCACACACACTTGCATGTTAAATGTTTTTTTTAAATATTCAATTTACCCACTGCATATTTGTATAATTCAGATAATAATAACTATAATAATAATAGTTATTAATAATAACCTCATTGATAATTAATAATAATAACCAATACACTATAAAGAAAATGGCCAAATTGAAGCCACTTCATAACACTACACAATTTAGTGAATATTTAATTTACTGTAAATGTATAGCATTATGCCTTTATGGGGTTTCTTTTTGTCTTTAAGGAAAAAGCCTGTGACATGACATATAAAGTTGATTCTGATTGGTCCTCTTCTGTGCATTCGAAGTGCTGATTGGCTCACGCAGATAGAACCTTATAGAGCCAAGTTAGAGTTCGATTTTGTAGATAGAACCTTTTTGTTTTTTCAATAAAAAGTCCCACAATGGACACAATTTAAAAAAACACATCACATAATGTAAATAAGTTGTCACAGAATAAGAATATGTGAATAACTCAATTTTGACAAAAATGTCAGATAGAACCTTATAATTCCAAGGGGACGATATATAAACGAGATTGAAGATAATAATTTTACTTTTTATAAGAGTATGTATTAAAATGAGTACTAATTGTTTATAAATATTCGAATTTATCAAATAGAAAAATAATGTGCAAAAAGTCTCAGAAATATCAACCTGTATGTTTTTTTTCTTATTTTTTTTTACTCACAGTACTCTCTAAAATTGCAGAAAATGTTTGATATTTGAAATTGTCATTGATGTTTGGATGTAATTTATTTGTCAATCGTATTTCTCTAGTCATATTTACAGCTGTAACTACTAGTTTAGTTTTGCGATACAAATCTCTCAAACCCTAGCATTAAGTTGTTTTAAACATTGACTTTTATGATGTTTATGGTTTACAATCTCTGTCAGATGACGCCCAATAGGAGAAAAGTTTTCTTCAGGACTTTTAGTCCTGAACGCAGTCCTGTAATTCCTCTGAATTACGAAGAAAAATTGTGGAAAACAATGCAAATGTAATCCAAAATATGTGGAAACAATACAAATGAATGGTATGTGCATTTCAATTATTTAAAACATTAGTATTTATTCTATATAATCATATTGGATTAAATTTGTGTGAATTTTTGTTCACTTCGACTCAAACCAGACGATATTGAGAGTAATCATTAACAATGCTAATACATTAACAACTGTCAGATTAAGACACGGTAGAGTAGATCGTCTAAAGAAACACCAGGATGTTAAATGCAATCATTACGAATACTTACAGCATTTTCTTTGCTTGGAAGCAAACCATCTCTGTTCCTGTAACATCTTTGAACCTGAGTTGGAGGTGTAAATTCTGCTGTGAGCCAGTGAGACGCTCTGATGCAAGACTGCTGCTTCCTACAGGAGAAATCCCAGTTGTTGTCGGCTGTTCGACTAGGAGGCCATCGCTCTTTTCACAAAGAAACTTGCTGGTGGGGCTTCAGGAACAGCTGCATGGGTCACAGATGTGGGCAATGAGTTTGGAAAGGTTCTCATGTGTGTCCTCACAGAGGCAGAGGGTGATGGCCTGCTTCCCATGTGCTCTGGACTTTTGGAGCTCTACCGCAGAGCTGGAAAAGCTCCTCCGAAAGTCCTTTACGCGGAACGGGATTGCTGCTCTTCCACGGACAAAGGAAAGGAGGCCACAATGTTTGCAGAGTGGGATCAGCTGCTTGTCAGGCTTGATGTGTGGCACTTTATGCGGCGGTTTGCCATAGGAGTGACCACAGACAGCCACCCGCTGTACAGCCTCTTTATGAAAAACCGATCTGCATGCATCTTTGAGTGGGATGCTTAAAGTCCCCATGAATTCAAAATTGACCATACTTACTTTGTTTGCCTAAATGGATCGTTTTGTGGTGAACAATTCATCCATGCAAGTCAATCCACACAAAGATTTTTTTTGGCTTTGTAATCTTTAATCAAAATCTGATATTTCCCCTCCCCTCTGCGTTGGAGGACCTTGCCTGATGACGTAGGTTTCACGGTTTGGGCGTCTTCTTAACATCCGTAATCACGCCCCTCCAACTGACAGTAGACAGGCTGAATGAAAACACCTACTTTTCTAGATCCAATCAGGTGCTAGTTGGGGAAAAAGCCACGCCCACCATTTTGCCTCATTAAGTATTCCGTTTCTCTCGGAAATACGTCACAACACTGGAGAAAAGTCGTTTGCAACTTCCGGTTCACGGGGACTTTAAGATGTGAAGAGGCTAAAGGAGGCCAAAAGGGCGACAGGCTACGAGCCCACCGCCAAAGAACTAGCGAGGCATTTATTAAAATAAATCTTCAACAGTACAATAGTTGACAAAAAAACCCCAAAGATGATAAAACATAAATTAAAGACATTTACTCAATAGGAGCAAGTGCCCGTTGCTCTGCCAGCCAGAGTTCCACACTTTTGCCTTCGTAGCTGCTACAAAAGGCTTTTCCAGCATACCGTGAGTGTCCAAACTCCTTAGTTTTGGGTTGCTGGCACAGACTGCATGCTATTGGAGTGCACTTTTTTGGCCTTTTCTCGGGCAGGCCTAGGGAAATGGCCTCTTTCTTCTTCCTCCTCCAGGCCATT